TAACCTTTAGTCACTCACCATGCCAATGTTTTTAACATTGCAGATTAAAGTTGAACAGGGCAGACAAGGACAATTATTAAAAAAAATATTGACTAAAGTCAAGCAGCAGTCAAAAAATAAGGGGAATGATAGCTAGGGGGAAAACATTCTGTGGCTCCCTTTCATTGGTGACTTAAGGATGTGCTTATTTTGCTTAATGGTTAATCCAGGACTGTTTTTGAGCTAAGAAGATAATTCCTCCAGAATATTCAGATATTGATAGCTGTATTCACAATGTGGCACCCTAGTGGTGCAGTGGTTAGAATGCAGTATTACAGGCACACTCTGCCCACAGTCAGGAGTTCGATCCTGATGGGGCTCGAGGTTGACTCAGCCTTCCATCCTTCCAAGGTCAGTAAAACGAGGACCCAGATGGTTGGGGGCAATATGCTGATGTTGTAAACCATTCAGAGAGTGCTGTAAAGCACTACAGAGTGGTATATAATTCTACGTGCTATTGTTATGTAAAGGACCATTACAGTTTCCCAAATGTGATCATCATTATAGCATCTCTCTGTAAAATTTCAGAAATTAAAAAAAACCTTTTTTGTGCTTTTGAGTCAGTGTTGACTCCTGGCGACTGCCTGGATGAATATCTGCAGTTCCTTGGCAAGGTTTTCCAGAAGTGATTTGCCACGGTCTCTCCTAGGACTAAGATAGATGGAGTGTCACAAATCACTCAGCTGGCTTTGACTAGAACCTATGGTCTCTCACTTTTTAGCCTTGTACTTTAACTACTACACAAAAGTGGCTCTTTAAATTAGCAGAAACCCCAATCTTGTAATTTGAGTTGGGTGATTAGACCCTAAGCTCTAGAACAGTGATGGCGAAACTTTTAGAGACCGAGTGCCCAAACTGCAACCCAAAACCCACTTATTTATTGCAAAGTGCCAGGGCCGCATCAGCATTGTGGTGCTCTCAGGGGAGCGGGTGGGGGGCGTGGCCCACTGGGTGGGCATGGCCGTTGGATGGGCATAGCTGTGGTGGTCACAGCTGTGGTGGTCACAGCTGCGGTGGTCATGGCAGACTGGGTGGGCATGGCCGGGGTGCATGGGCCAGGACCAGGGTGGTGGGAACCAGTCTGTCACCATCTCTGGGACATCCCCAGGGGGCCAATGGCCCTTGCTCGCTCACTTCCTGACCCGTCGCTTCCAAACGCCATGTGCTTGCTACTCTGGCAAACTCTGCTAGGGCGGTGGCATGTGTGCCCACAGAGAGGGCTCTGAGTGCCACCTCTGGCACCTGTGGCATAGGTTCGCCACCATGGCCCTAAACTGTAGAACAATTGAGTAACATGAATTCCAATCCCCTTGAATATTAGTCTTTGTGGCCAATGAAGCAGCATAATATTAGTTGTAGTTCAACAGCCCCTGAAAGGCTGTGCATAGTTCTAAAGCAGGAGTAGGGAATAGATTTTTTTTTCATATTTCATCTGCAATCAATGTTTCTGATGTGTTTGGCTATCATATTGCCTCTCATGATTTCTAGGCTAAGCATATCCAGTCCCTTCAATCTTTCCATGTACTGTAGTACACATATCTGGCATCTCATCACCTACTTTGTCACCTACTTCCTGATTACCGTCACTAAAATATGGCACACCAAGAAAGCCGCAGGAAAGGCATAACCAAAACAGAACAGATTGCTCCCATTAGGTCTCACAATTGAGACAAGAATCCCTCCTCAACTCATAAATTTATTTGTATGTCACATCAAGTCCCAAAGTAACATTAAAAAGGGGATTAATGTGTACTGTGGGCCACCACTAATTTATCATTAAGAAAATTTATATGGCTGCCCAACTCAGTGACTATGGGCAGCTTACGCATAGACCTAGCTCAGAGAATCTGACTCCAGAAAAATAATGCAAACAAAAGTGAGCATAAACATCTAACAATTAAATAAGCTACAACAACCTTTTAGAACTAAGACACTTTACAAAGCTGCAGGAGGAAGAGAAACCTATATTCATATATCACATTTAACCATGGATGATTATGGCCCATGAAATACCGTAAGCCACAATCAGCTAGATCAGGGGTCTTCAAACTTGGCCCTTTTATGGCTTGTGGACTTCAACTCCCAGGATTCCTCAGCCAGTGTGCCCTGCAATCTAAAATCAATATGAATTAAATGTTTCTCAGGGGGGCAATCGAAGATAGAGCAGCCTCTCTTCCCCTACAGTTGAACAAAGAAACTGCAGTACAGGCAGTCCTTGACTTACAACCGCAATTGAGCCCAGCATTTATGTTGCTAAGCAAGACATTTGTTAAGTGAGTTTTGCCCGGTTTTACCTTTCTTGCACAGTTGTTAAGTGAATCACTGCAGTTGTTAGTAACATGGTTGTTAAGTGAATCTCTCTTCCCCATTGACTTTGCTTGTCAGAAAGTCGCAAAAAATAATCACAACTCCAGGACACTGCAACCATCATAAATATGAACCAGTTGCCAAGCATTTTAATTTTGATCACATGACTATGGAGATGCTGCAACATTCGTTAAGTGTGAAAAACGGACAAAAGACACTTTTTTTCAGTTCCGTTGCAACTTTGAACAGTCACTAAATGAACTGTTGTAAATCGAGGACTACCTGTATTTCAGACCAGCCTAATAGGTCTCTAGCAGCTTAATCTAGATCCCAATCCCTGCAATTTCCACCATTCCCTTTTTAATAGGCTCTTGGAAGGATGGGAATTGCAGTGCAGAAAATGAATGGCGGACGTTTAAGGCTGCAAAAATGGCTTAATACGGGGAGGTTTTTGCAAACGTTTCCCCCCGCCCCACCGACGGGTCACGGCATTTACCGGGCATCTGCTAAAGAAACCCTACCACGCTTCCTCCTCAAGCCCCCACCTCGAAGCGATTTCGCAGCACAGCGTGTATCCGCAGAAACGGGGGACTCATCAGTCCGTTTGAAAGCCAGGCGCTGCTTCCGCTTCTAAGGCAGACCGGCTTACCGGAAGTGCAACAAGGCTGCAAGCACGTGAGAACTAGACAAGAAACGGGGTCTGGGACCGGAGAAGTTATTTATTTTGCTGCTTCTGATTCTTTCCCTCGTGGTGTGTATCAGTAAGCGTTGTATGAAGTTTCCCCTCCCCCCCATACATAATTCCTCTTGCAACTCCCCAAGTCGAAGCAAAAAAGTAAACAGGAATAGGGGCGTGGGGTTAGCCCTTGAGAAAATAGAAATGCTGCTTTAAAATATACAACTAAAACGTGTGCCATAATGCCTCCTTAAGTAATTAGGGAACTAGTGAAAACTTATCTTTATTTCTAAAGATGGAAATAAGGGGAAGAAAGACCCTATTCCGGCCATCTAGGTTGCGGACAAAAGGGAAGGGAGGAAGGAAGCGAGAATACTTTTTCTAAGGTACGTAGAATGAGTGCGCTCTTATCCTACAATATTGGTTTCTCCTTGCTTAGTATTTTGATAAGGTTTTTAAATCCCATATGGAATCAAAGATAGTATTAGGACAGATGGCACTTTGAAGCAAATATCTGTAGAATGCCCATCTTAAAAGATGAGACTTTGATTTGATGTTCATTTAGTAGTTCGCTCATGTAGACATGGATCTGCCATTTTTTTCCCCAGAGGATCAAAAAAAAGAGTCATGTATTCAAACCACCATCTACTGCTTTAGTACTATAATTCCTACAATGGCCGATCTGATATCTCTAGGAAGTTTACGCAAATGAAATTAAAGAGCAATAGTCTCTTCAATCCATTGTCTTCAATCTATTATTAATTCTTAAGTATAATTAGAGGAAATATAGAGCCAAAACATTACACATAGACAGATTTCCTGTGCTGTTTGTCAAAAGGTTACTCTACATCAGGGATAGTCAACCTTGGCTCTTTTATGACTCGTGGACTTCAACTCCCAGAATTCCTGAGCCAGCTAAGCTGGCTCAGGAATTCTGGGAGTTGAAGTCCACGAGTCATAAAAGAGCCAAGGTTGACTACCCCTGCTCTACATGTACAGTATAACATTTGAGTGGTAGAGTCTGGTAACATTTTTTTAAATTGGTGAATTTTGTTTGAAAAGCCTTTTAACAGGGTCGAAAAGGTGCTACCAGACTCCTTATGATTTTTGGTTACTGTGGTAGGCTAACACATGTCCTTTCCTGCAGTGTTTACATATAACATTCCTATCACATACATACTGGCAGTAGTGTTAAAAGATAAAGGTACTGGCTTTGTTGTGCATTCAAGGTGTTTTATAGTTACTCAGTGGCAGCAAAGGTCACCTCAGTAAACTATACAGTATCATTAAGATAATGTACCACAAGGAAATAAAATTCAATAGTTTTGAATAAACTAATGAAGTTTTGAATATTGTTCTGCTCTGAAAAATAAAAAAATGGTTATGAACCCTTTTAACATTAATATTGACTTTATATAAGGATCCAAAATCAAGCATGGAATATTAATATTTGGCATATAGAACAAAATATATTACTTATCTTTTTTTAATCCAATGTCACACAAAGATTTTCACACTAGTAGTATTACCACTGCATTGCTTTAAACCAGGCATGTCCAAAGTCCGGCCCGCGGGCCATTTGCGGCCCGCGGCCCGGTTTAATCCGGCCCTTGAACAGCCCTCCCTGCGGTATGTAAATGCGGCCCTCCCACGGCCCTCCGGCAAGTCCCATGAGAGAGAGAGAGAGAGAGACAGACAGACAGACAGACAAACAGACAGAGACAGAGGCACTTGCACTTCTGTCTCTCTCTCTCTCTCTCTCATGGGACTTGCCCCCTCGCAGGGCTCCTCATTGGCCCTGCGCCCGGGTGTCCCGCCCCCTGGGAGAAGGGCGGCCAGGAAGTCCCTTTCCCGGGCTGGCCCCATCCCAGGCGCATGTGGCTGGGGAGCCATGCGGGGAAGCCCCGGGA